ATATATATATTACATTAAGGAACTAAAAATCCAAACTAAAAACTTCTAAAAAAGGATTAAGATAAAATATCATTTAGCAAATAAATCTTAATGCATGAAGGAAAATTATTAAAAATATGGACACCCTCATTATAATCTTTTTAAAAAGAAAAAGGAAAAGGCAACGAATTTATTTTTGGTGGTTACATGTTAGACACTATCCAAATAGGCAGATAACATACTGAAGAGCAAAGATACCCCCAAACAGTTTTTCTTCGCAGTTCACAATGCATGATATGTGTGATCACATTATGCACACAACAACACTCTCACTGTCTCACATCACATGCATTATAACATAACACATTACGTACTAATTATCTGCATGCATATCATCGCCCCCTGCCTCTCTCCCTCAAACCCAACTATATACACTTTTCTCATTTATTTTACCATATATAACTTCAAAATGTATGTAATTATAGTCATTCATAATTTTCTCATAGTTAAAATGATTTATATTATACTCTAAAGTCTGAAGTGAGTAGCCTGATTTATTGATACTTGTGTGTTTTTAATTGGGTAGGTTGGTAATTAAACAACATTTTTTGAAAAATGGTATGGGAGAGGGAGCTAGAATGATCTTTTAAGGACCATAGCGTGTATGCATTTAAGTACAATGATGAGGACCTATAATACAAGAACCCCTCAGAAGATTTGGGTTACTCTCTAGTCAACTTAACCACTCTCACTCACTTATCTGTCAATATATAACTGAACTCTTCCCACTGATTCAACTGCAAAACTTAATATACCTGCACAACATGGAATTTCTAACAATTAATTAATAAACACCTACTACAGACTGAACACCACATGCATGCTCATTCCATGCAAAGCTAATGATTAACATCAAAGTTTCAGAATTAAATTCATACCCTAATCCTGTGTTTCCCATGCATATGTATAAATTTTTTTTTCCAAACCATAGGATTTTCTACCAGAAGTAATCTAATAGTAGAACTCCTTTAGACAGCAAAGCTCTTTCTTCAAATATTTAATTAACATAATTGCATATCAAAAATTTAAACTCGACTACTAGTTAAATTGTTGAAAAAACTCTAACCCATTACCGGTTGATTCCCATGCACATGTATATATAATAATTCAGCAAGTGACTATAGTTAACATAATTGAAGATCAATATTAATTAATTGAAGATCAAGATGACTAACTCACTTAGTTGAACAATGTATAAAAACAGTTATAATCTTTGGATACTGAGTTCAATTCCTACAAAATATGGACTGATTAAAGCCAAAGAGCACCGGCTTGCTTGAGGAGAGGAATGAGTGTGCCGTTGATGTGAGTGGCGACGAGGGTCTGGACTCCGCCGAGAAACTTTCCCCCGACGAAAACGGCGGGGAGGGGTTGCTGCTGCGTGCCGGCGAGCTGGAAAAGGAGGGCGTGGATGGCGGTGCCGGCGGCGTGGCGGTCGAGCTCCACCACGGTGGGACCCACTCCGAGGCTGAACAGAAGGCGTTTGGCGACCGTGGACATGCAGCATTCGGTGGAACTGAAGACCACCACGGCGTTGCGCGACGTAAAGTGGTGCAGCACCTCGTAAGGGTTCATGGATGATGCCTCCATTTCTTCCATACCCAATTTCATTATCGTCATTCTTAATTAACTTGCTGTGGTATTGGGTTGCAGAGAGAGAGAGAGAGAGTGAGCTAGAGAGCATGCATATGAGTGAAGAAGATACGTCTATATATGAGTTTATATAATGTAAATGGAGCAAGCAAACGAGTATAGGTTGGTAAGTAACATAACCAAACTATTTTACCATCATTATCAGATTATGTATTGCAATGTACGAACCCAACATAAAGTGAGACTTAACTCCAGTCTAGGTAAACAAGGGAAGGATAAGATTTTATCATCTTTGGGAATTCGTGTTAAGTTTTTAACCCAACCTAGGTAATATTTTTAGAGAACAAAATCCAAGATTATTATTGCTAGCTATTTGCGAAGAAAATTAATAAGGGGATACAATTTATTTATTTTTCGACTCCTTACTCTTTTTGTTTATATAAGTGGGTTAATAATCAACTTAACATCTCATATCAACTCTTTAATTTAAGGTTAATAGAATTTAGTTGATACAAGAAGATTTAAATGAAACAAAAATCCGGAAAAAAAAATGGATGTGATCAAAGAAAGAAAAGAAGGAAACAAACATAGAGATGAAAATGCGAGGGAAGAAAATGGGAGAGGAAGTGTGGATACAGACTTAAAAAAATACTCAAAATCAAAGGTAAGTTTTGTACAAATATAAAGACAAAATATAAAATATTACAAATATAAAGATTAACACTTAAAGTGCAACCCCTTAAAACAAAACATGTAAAATGCAATAGTTATTAGTGCTACGTCAGTGTCATTTTATTCATTGTTAACAAAATTAACTTTTTCTTAATGGTAAGGAAAAAAATTTGAAAGCGCTTACATAATAATTAAATAAATAATTTTTTATTGTGAAAATTAAATGGTAAAATTTGTAGGATTATAAAATCAAATCCAGAAGAGAAAAAAAAGGATAAATGTATATTGAAAATATGTGAATTTTATTACGTTAATGTATAAAGTTAAATTACTGCCAAAACTAACAGTGTCGTTATCACGATATATGTTAGGGGTGATTAATATTGAGTGCACACGTGATCATGAATTCCATCTTCCACATTTCTAATGTCTAATTTTCCCACGTACGTGAGATTAAAGAGTATTTTTCCTTATGAAAGTAACCTAAAACCCCTCACTAAGTTCTACAAAGTGTCTTTAATATCTCCCCCACCCATATCGAAGTGTCTTTAATATTCTCAACTCACTCACTCACTCTATCTTAACTACAAAATCACTACAAATGTTCATGTCTCATGTACTAAAACTAGCTTACAGCAACCTCTGTTCCACCATCTCAACTTTATTTGCCACGCCCAAATATAATTGCTGGGTACGTTTGGCAATTAATTAAATAATTAAACATGAGGGCAAACAGAAGCAGGTGGAGAAGTACTCTAGAAAAGCAAAATTACTGTAATGAGCTGGCTATCCCTTATGTATAATTCTTAAAGTAAGTTTAATTTTTTTAAGAATTACTTCACTTAATAACTCGATCATTATTTATATTTAATTTCAATAATTCATTTGTTAAACTTTTAAAATAAGTAGATATTTATTTATATATAATTAATATTAAAGAGGTTATTATTAATAAAGTGGCGGTAAAGAGCTGCGATTATTATTAAGTGATTGAGAAATCAAATTATTAAATTATTGAGGGTATGTTTGATTTCTATTTTTAAAAACTAATTTTAATTTAGAAAGTACAAAGAAAAAACCCTCACACTGTTCATATAGGACGGAGCCAAGGGGGGACCTACGGGTGCCACGGCCCCCCCAACAATTTTAATTTTTTTTTTATATACATATATATTACTATATGGCACCCCCTATTTTTAATATAAACTCATATGTATAATTAAATGAATAACCCAAATTTATTTTTTTATTCAACTTTTGGACTTCTGGTACGGCCTGCTATGTGGTATCACTTTGGAATTTTTTTTTTTTTAAAAAAATGTAGCGCCTCATTTGATCATTCCAATTCTCGGCCCCCCAGTATTGAAATCCTGGCTCCGTCCCTG